TTCATATCACTAGGGTGGTGAAGCTCCATAGTATTTATTCATAGTGTTTACAATTTATCCTATTAGTGATTAACAGAAATAGATATTCACTGTAGTGTAGCTGTAAGTAGGGAATAGAATCCACCACCATCACTATGATGATGATGATGGTCACAATTCGGACCTATTCCGTATCATGTTAATAGATATTATATTCTTAATAAGATAGTGATTTCGTTATATAGATTTATAAGGATATAAAATATCATCAATGCCTGATATCAGTTTATTAAAGTTTCACCCGTGTTACGCGAAATTCACTGCTCACATGCGTTCTTCGCGAAGTGAAATGTGTTTTTCACATCACTAGGGTGAAACACCAATGAAATGATATAAATATATAAGTTATTATTGATGCAGCTTTAATCTATTATGTAGAATATAATCCAGTCTCGACAGTCTCGATCGAGTACCTCACCCTCCCCTACTCGTGTTGATGACTACCATGCTGTGATGCATGATGGTTAGTGATGATTGATGACAACGTTGAGTTGCCCATGGCGGTTTAGCGCAGTTGGAGAACTAGTGGGTTTAAACTGGCGTAGGTCGCCGGTTCGAATCTCAGAATCCACATTTTTCCCACATGAAAATGTTTTCTAGGTATATATTGGAGTTTCACGACCACCCTAGTGATATGAAAAACATATTTCACGACTACTGCATATCAATGCGAATATCGCCTAGTTTTTCACGGACTTTTACGACGCCACTTCGCGTAAAACGGGTTGTTGTGAAACTCCACTGATAACCATCAATTATTGTTTTAATCATTCAAAAATGATTGACGTTACTAAACAGAATTGATCTCACGACCTCGTGAAGGGGAGTATGTCGTTGTAACCACCAAAGCAGGAGAACTTATAATTTCCTTCTGGAGTTGAAGTCTGGCAGCAGTACATTTTCATTGGGCAGACCAGTAAGGGGGAAATATACACATGACCGACTGCATGTGTTGGTGATAGTATGCAAATTCTGAGGAAAAATCGAGAAATTCTCGTTGGTTTATGCACACTTCTACCCCAAGTTTGGAAACTCCTGAGCTCAGCTACTGAGGAAAACGATTACACATATTCATACTCCAACACTGTATAGGAAACTCCTGAGCTCAGCTGATGAGGAAAGCGATTACATATATTCATACTCCAACACTGCAGTTGTTTTTATATATTGCAACATGCCAGGATTGAACCACAGACCGGACAGGACAACTAAACGCACTACTTTCAGACTACGACCTGATCAGCTAGTGGTGGAAGATGTGAGAATTGGCATTAATTTCGTGGCGCGTGACGCTGTCATTGCATAGATATCATACCGACCATCATCTCGGCAAGGGAGGCTTCATACATGTAGACATTTTCCGACAGCAGCAGTAGAAGAAAATTCACTCGGTAAATTGGGAGGAAAAATTGGTAAAGTGGGAAAAGAAAGAAAAATATTTTATTGAGAAAATTGCAATTTTTGAAAATTTTCCGGAAAATTTTCGAACATAAATCTTACTGTTGATGAGACGCGAAAGAGATCCGCTCAAGGCCGCATTTGCAATATATTTTTTTTAGTCCCCGTTGGTGAGGAAAGAATTTTGCGACGTCAATTGGATCAACAACGACGACGGGTTGAAGACATGTCGGAGATGTTGAGCTTCTCGAGAGAGGAAAAACAAAAACTAGAGCTCGAGGTGAGCACATGGTCAACTACATGTGTTGGTGACAATATGAAATTTGAGAAAATTTTGGGAAATTCCTGTACATTTCTACTCTACTTTTTACATAAACTCCTATAGTTAGTGGGGAAACTGATCCCAGGGTTAGCTGAGGGAAGCGAACATTTATTGCAACAATGGAGATGAGCAAGGAAAATATTTTTCCGTCGGAAATTATTTTTTCTTGGGAAATTACTGAAAATTAGTGATCATGCAGGGTGATTGGAAAAAGGCGCAGCTCACGTGCTTTCTCGTTAATGGAGTTTCACAACAACCCGTTTTACGTGAAGTGGAGTAAAATTCGGTGAAAAACTAGGCGATATTCGCGACCTGTAGTAGTCGTGAAATACGTTTTTCACTAGTGTTTTTCATATCACTAGGGTGGTGAAACTCCAATACAGTGCGTGCCAATTTGATACTTTTATCACATCACATGTTCATACCATTTTTTACGATATCTCATTACACATTTGCATAGTATTTTCTCGACAGCGTAGACGAAAAAATGCAGATAATTCCACTATCATTAGAAAGAGATCACTGAGTGCTTCGAAAAGGCACCTGAGTTTGGCTGATCAAATTTATCGGCAAAAGATTCATCCCAATTTTTTTCTGATAAACTCGGATGAATTTTTTTCCGATTATTTTTATAATATAAAATGAATTTGTAAAAATTATCAACTGAAATTGACAGAAATAATGGAGTTTCACCATCCTAGTGATATGAAAAACACTGGTGAAAAACATATTTCACTCGACTACTGCATATCACCGCGAATATAAACTTTCGCGAATTCACGTGAAGTGGCGTAAAACTTCATGCAAAAAAGGCGATATGAAGTGGATTGATTATATTTCGCGAATCACCTCGGTGAACGCGGAAAAATTGCAGCATGCCACGTGTTTTACGCGTTTTTCGCAAAGTGAAATATGTTTTTCACTAGTGCTTCTTTTCATATCACTAGGGTGAAACTCGAAGGTGACATCATTTTTTCATTTCGATGATTGTGATAGAATTTATAATTCTTATTATAAATATCTTATGGTTGTGGCAGTAAGATACGGAATAGGTCCGAATAAGGCCGTCGAAAATTTCTCAGATAAAAACGGCAAATGTCGCGTTGGATGAATCGCAAAGTTTACTCAACGACAAGATCGTGATGAAGGAAATTTTAGAGAAGGAATTGTAAGTTTAAACGGGAGAGTGAAATTGTAGCAATTTTACCCGACTCGCAGATTTGATGTTTTTGGAAAAGTTGGTGGGAAGAAATTTCTTGCGCTGATTTCTTGAATGATCAACTGTGTAAAAATTTTGTGAAAGTTTTACCGATAAAATTTTAATTTTACCGCTTTTTTTGGAAAAATTAAGTTTAATATGGCGTCGAATATTCGTCGCAATTCAGATTTTTGTGAGTAGTCGAACTTAATGAGCGGAACGAAGCGAGTTTTCTATTTGAAGGATAAAAAATTGTCGTTCACCGATCACTCCATCTGGTGATGGACTACGCTCACATTTGAACAATTACCATTGAGGTTTCACCCTAGTGATATGAAATATATTTCACGACTACTGCATATCACCGCGAATATCACCGCGAATATCGCCTAGTTTTCCACAGAGTATTACGACGCCACTTCACGTAAAACGGGTTGTTGTTGTGAAACTCCGTTGTTGCTAATTTTCAGAGAGAACTCTCGAAGAGATCTGCATGCCATTTGTATGGGCGTCATTGAATTGGGTTGTCTGGTTCCCACTGGAAGAAATGGTCGAGAGGATAGCGGCGCGGCCCAGGTGAATCATGGAGGAGGTTGCGGGTTCGAATCTGGGAGAATTTATTCAAAAATATAAAAAAATCTAATTTAAATTTCGATAAATAGTGATAGTGGTAAATAGTGATCGCAATGATTTTCAATTTTCGCGCACTATAAAATTGTCATTAGGCTTTCGTTAATTTTTTCGCGCAGGAAAAAAACTATTATCAGTATTTCTTCAATTTTTCGCGCGCCACGAAATTAT